TTACTCTGTAACAGACCTTAACTTGATTTCTACTTTGAATGAGGATTAAAAATCATTAATACTGTTTCACAGTTGATTTAAAATGAGTAGTTCACTTCAACATTTAAAAATGGTTTGAACTAAACACACTTTTGATTATCACGACATTTGTAAAATAGTAATGATAATAAAAAAGAGAGTGTTCTTTCAATTGATCAGTGCAGGACACTTATAAAGTCTCTGGATGAACTTAATTTTGTGTTTCTGGATTCAAATCAATGAAATAACAGTTCTTGTCCCAGAAAGGCCCCCAGGGCCAGATTTGACCTGAGGCTTAGTTCACTACACATGCAAAATTTGCTTTCATCCGAAAAAAGTACTTTGGACCACTGAGCAACAGTCCAGTGCTGCTTCTCTGTAGCCCAGGTCAGGCGCTTCTGCCGCTGTTTCTGGTTCAAAAGTGGCTTGACCTGGGGAATACGGCACCTGTAGCTCATTTCCTGCACACGCCTGTGCACGGTGGCTCTGGATGTTTCTACTCCAGACTCAGTCCACTGCTTCCGCAGGTCCCCCAAGGTCTGGAATCGGCCCTTCTCCACAATCCTCCTCAGGGTCCGGTCACCTCTTCTCGTTGTGCAGCGTTTTCTGCCACACTTTTCCCTTCCCACAGACTTCCCACTGAGGTGCCTTGATACAGCACTCTGGGAACAGCCTATTCGTTCAGCAATTTCTTTCTGTGTTTTACCCTCTTGCTTGAGGGTGTCAATGATGGCCTTCTGGCCAGCAGTCAGGTCGGCAGTCTTACCCATGATTGCGGTTTTGAGTAATGAACAAGGCTGGGAGTTTTTAAAAGCCTCAGGAATCTTTTGCAGGTGTTTAGAGTTACGTCGTTGATTCAGATGGTTAGGTTAATAGCTTGTTTAGAGAACCTTTTCATGATATGCTAATTTTTTGGGACAGGCATTTTGGGTTTTCATGAGCTGTATGCCATAATCATCAGTATTAAAACAATTAAAGACCTGAAATATTTCAGTTGGTGTGCAATGAATCTGAAATATATGAAAGTTTCATTTTTATCATTACATTATGGAAAATAATGACCTTTATCACAATATGCTAATTTTTTTAGAAGGACCTGTATGTGACACAGGACTCTACAATTAGGCCCTATTTACACGGACAGGGCAGGAGAAAATGTACGTTTTTTTCAGATGTTGATTCAAGGAAAAAATCTGCGAGGACACGACCGCATTTGGTGTTTAGATGCAACCGGAGAACTGTCCCCGAATCCGCTATAGTTGCCATGCCAGGTCATTAGTTGGCGCTGTGAATTTTGTACATTCACCTAATGCGCATGCGTGCTGACTAGGACAGCCGTCTGTAAGGTACTTCTTCTGGGCTGAAAGCCCAGTAACAACAAAACTTAAAGCTGGATTTTGGATACGAGTCGATGGGCTTGAGGTCAATTGAACCGCTTCATCTAACCAGCCTGACACCGGTTGCTGAGCGAATCGTGACTGACGAAGATGATATCACTCTGGTGGCTGACCAGTTAAATGTGTAAGCTGGAATGTAAAATCTCTTAATGGTCCAGTAAAATTCCGAAAGATTATGTCACACCTAAAACAGCTAAATAGTGATATCGCCTTTTTACAGGAGACTCGCATGTCCAACATTTTTCAGTCAGGTCATCCGGACATTTTCTTTTTTTGCTGAAAATTGTCACCTTCCATCCAGAAGGCTTCATCAGTCAAGGAAACACACAACACAAAACTGATTCTTCCCCCAAACAGCTTACTCCAAAGTGGAACAAACCAGTTATGTTGGTGCTAAGATGGTGTATTTGGTACACCCCCTCCTCTGTTGCTGGCCCTCTTCCTCGTCAACAGTCATGTCAAACTAGTTCAAAACCAAATTAAAGCTGCAAGCAGCATTGAAGGCTCTCGCAGCAAAGCACCGCTCCGGCCATACCGCGACTGCGGGAGCTCCAGCCACTCCACCCAGTTGCCATCGCCAACGTTCTCGTGCCAATCCCGCACGCGTTAACCACAAGTCGCATTTCCTGAATCTTTGACATCGCCTTCCGTCCATGTCAGTACTAGTCCAGCTCCAGGTCTTACAAGTATACATGAAATCCTACCTTCCAGACAGGAGTTATTGTGACTTCCTGTTTTTTTGTGAATGTTTGAGGAGCACTTCCTTTATGCTTTTCAACATGTCGTGTGGTAATCAACAATTACAGTTTCAGTCATATCTTACACAGGGCTAAACTGGATGAGTCACCCAATAATTGACAGTTTATTCTCTGAATGGGAGGGGCTTAAGCGATGTCATGAATAAACATTACTAATGTGTCTCAAAGTGCTCACTGATCAAGCAAAAAATAAATAAATCAGGTTCAGATAAGATGATGTATCACTGAGATCTAACTGTTGGAATAATCTAGGTGGCGCACTTGAGTCAAAAGTTAAACAACAATGCCAATATGTCTAGAAGTGCTTACTTATGATGCACAATAAATCTGGTGCAGATTGGATGATGATCTATAACTGTAGTAGTAATGAAGGGGGCGCTGTGGAGGCTATTGGCCACTTCTCATGGCTTCCTGTTCAAGGGGTGGATAAAGATCAATCATAGTGATTTTGGTACACCTCGGCTCAAATATGTGCAATTTAAAGCCAAACCTATTGCAACGACGTCACTTCTTAATTCGCCACGCCACCACGCTCACATCTTCCAGTTAAAACAGTTTGCACTTAGTCAGACCAAACTGTTAAATGTCTTCTAACACAGGATCGTCCTGATTAGGTCAAGGGTGTCAGAGAGGGAGCTTTCCAAGTAAAAAAAGTGACTTCCTGTTCTAAGGGGGCGGGGCTTTGATGACTTCAGAATATGACAACAGTGGATCGTCGGGCATCCAACAGGGATGAGTCATGCCAAGTTTGGTGCAATTCGGTCTTTCAACGTGAACGTTATAGCGTTTGGAAATTTATGGAGTGAAGAGCAACTTTGAGGCCTGGCCACACCCCTTTCACATATACAAAAACGCAAGATTTGGAAAACTATTACTCTTCATTGTGTTAAGGGCATATTATTCAAGTTTGAATGCAATCCATCCAAATCCCTAGGAAGAGTTTGTTAAAATTCGCCAATAGAAACGCCCAAAAATGACCCTTTGACACAAAATGGCTGACTTCCTGTTGAGTTTGGACCAGGGCTCCAAGAGACATTTTCATAGGTCCTGAGAAGATACAGACGTTCACGGAGTTTCAGAATTATCGGTGAAAAAATGGCTTGGGGCTTAACTTTTAAAATATAGTAGGGGGTGCTGTGGAGGCTATTGGCCACTTATAATGGATTCCTGTTCAAGGGGTGGATAATGATCGATCAAACTGATTTTGGTGCACTTCGGCTCAAATCTGTGGAATGTAGAGCCAAACATACGGCGACGACATTACGTCTTACTTCGCTACGCCACGAACTGTTGGAATAATGTAGGGGGCGCACTGGAGTCCAATGTTAAAAAACAATACCAATGTGTTTAGAAATGCTCACGGATGACGTACAATAAATTAGGTGCAGATCGGATGATGTATCATTGAGATATAACTCTAGGAATAATGTAAGTTGTGCTGTGGAAGCTACTGGCCACTTATTATGAATTCTTGTTCAAGGGATGGCTAATGAGTGATCATAGTGATTTTTGTGCACCTTAGCTCAAATCTTTGCAATTTAGAGCCAAATGTATTGCAACTGCGTCGCTTCTGAATTTGTCATGCCCACATCCTCCAGCTAAAACTGTAATTTAAATCAAGTCAGAACAACTTGTTATATGTCTTCTAACACAGGATCATCCTGATTAGGTCGAGGGTGTCATAGAGGGAGCATTCCAAGAAAAAAAAAAAAGACTTCCTGTTCTGAGGGGGCGGGGCTTTGATGATGTCCGAATATGACCACAGAGGATTGCCGGGCATCCAACAGGGATGACTCATGCCAAGTTTGGTGAATTTTGATCTTTCAATTTGAAAGTTATATTGTTTGAAAATTAACGCCGTAAAGTGCAATATTGAGGCCTGGCCACGCCCCTTTAACATATACGAAAATGCAAGCTGTTGATAACTTTTACTCACCAATGTTTTAAAGGGCATATTAACCAAGTTTGAAGGCAATCCTTCCAAATCTCTAGGAGGAGTTTGTTAAAACTCCCGACTTCCTGTTGAGTGGCTCCAAGAGACTTTTTCATAGGTCCTGAGAAGATACAGGTGTTCACCGAGTTTCAGAATTATTGGTCATAAATTGGCTTGGGGCTTAAGTTTTAAAATATTCTAGGGGGCGCTGTGGAGGCTATCTGGAGTCAAATGTTAAACCACAACATCAATGTGTCTAGAAGTGCTTACTGATGATGCACAATAAATCTGGTGCAGATCGGATGATGTATCACTGATCTATAAATGTAAGAATAATGTAGGTGGCACTGTGGAGGCTATTGGCCACTTCTCATGGCTTCCTGTTCAAGGGGCGGATAACGATCAATCATAGTGATTTTGGTACACGTCGGCTCAAATTTGTGCAATTTAGAGCCAAACGTATTGCAACTGCGTCACTTCTTAATTCACCACGCCCACATCCTCCAGTTATAACGGTTTGCTCTTTAAATCAAGTCAGACAAACTTGTTAAATATCTTCTAACACAGGATCATCCTGATTAGGCCAAGGGTGTCAGAGAGGGAGCTTTCCAAGCACAAAAAGTGACTTCCTATTCTGAGGGGGCGGGACTTTGATGACTTAAGAATATGACAACAGTGGACGGGTTCTCTTCACAAAGATGGCCTCCTTTACTCCTCTCTCAAATCATCGTTCCTCTCTTTCTCAAAATAAAAAAAGTTTCTTTCAAACCTAAAATTATAAATGAGTGATTGAGGTGACTGGAAAAGAAAATAATCTGGGCAGTTACATGAATAATAAGACTATAGATAATTTCCTCAATGAGGAGGTTCTATTAAGCCAACCAAACAACCAACCTTGGCTTTGAGGAAAGAAGGATATCTGCTGAAGGCTCTGGCCAAAATGTCATCATTGACTTCATTACCAAGGTCCCCACAGAATATACGGAAATCATCTGCAAAAGAGGATGAAAACAACTCAAACACAAGCTCATTGTCAAACTGTGAGAAAACCACTTCTGTTGGTTCTAAACACAATAAGAAATGATGTTACAGAAAGAACATAAAATGATTTTAGTCTAAAAATCTGACATGAAAGGTCATATGCATAGCTTCGTGGAATGCTAGGCCTTTAATAATGGAACAGAACAACATATTTCGAAAGCCTTTAATTTTATTTATTTATTCAGTCATTACTAAAGTTGAAACAAAACCTGACTAAAGCAACATCCACACTGCAGGTCTTAATGCTCAATTCTGATTTTTTTGCTTAGATCCAATTTTTATGCCTGGTCATTCACATTATAGTTTAGAAGACACTTTTAAAAATGGAATGAAGAAAACTGGAAATGGAAATCTCAGTTTTTCAAGTTATCGTGCTCACAACATTCACAGATGGACAGAGGGTGTTTCCACTTCACCACTGTCGCTCCGTGATGGAGGACAAAAAGCTTTAGCTAACTTACAAATGTCCCAGTGGGTTTGTATTTATCAGTGTGCACAGAAACTTTTGTTGTTTTAAGTGAACTGTGTTCATTTTTACCTGATTCCCAGTCCAAAAGACTTGCATCCTCCCAGGTGGTCCCAGCTGCAGTACGGATACACTTCTTCACCTTCTCATTCTTCACTTTCTTTTTGTCCTCCATACAACTCTCCACAGGCTGAAAAACACAAACACCATAATAGCAGAAACGAACGTTTCGTCACCATTTCACATTTATTTTATTACACTAATTCAGTGGTTCCCAAATTAATTTTCTAGAAAGCCCCCTGCTGTCCCTCCCTCCTCCTTTCACCTTTAAGGCACATAATATATACGGGTATAATATTTCAGAATCAAACTATTATTTGTGGAAACCATTTCTGCAACATGTATTTGTATTTAAAAAAAATAACACCTGTTTCATTTTATATACCTTAGTTCAAAGATGAAACTGGTTTTCTTCCAGCACGGCTCTGGGAACAACATGCTGTTCTAAGATGCACCCTCAATTTTTTGCTGTTTTTCTTCTTTTTGAATGAACCGGCTTGAAGACAAATGAGTTCATGATGTAACTTGATGCCCAATTACAGTATGCATTATTGTACAGATTGAAACTACTGCCTGTACAGTATTTCAGCTTCTGATAGATAGGTTTACCGTCCGGTTAGGACTGACATCTCCTGGTTGATGTGCACTAGAAATGCACCAATCACAGGTGTGTAAAAATTAGCCTGGTTTTATTCCAGGAAATTGTCTCCATCTCTGAAATTTACCAATATCAACTCAGCTGGTGCTTGATAAACAAGTACTGGTAACCTCATTAAAAACAATCTTGTTCTTGTTATTATTTAACGTTATTAAATGGTTTAATTTTATTATAAAAAAACATTCAAATCCTTAATAGTCAACCATACAGAAAAAAAGATGTGTATTGTTAAAAACAGTTCTCTAAAGAAAAATCAGAAATGGTCAAAATTGCTTTTAACAAGTCAGAGCTGATTTTTGAAACACATTTTTGTAGACTTCTGGTCTGGTGAGCCAGAGGATGGCAGCAGAGTGCATGCTCCCGACTAGCACTTTATCCCAACTAAACTAACTCGAAACTTGGAACTTATAGATTAAAATAGTTGGGCAATATATTTAAAACAAAAATGCTCCCAAAAAACTAAAGATAAATGTGATAAATTTATTCCATTTTGGGTCACGGGGGTCGCTGGTGCCCATGTCCAGCAATCACTGTGCGAGGGGCGGGGGACACCCTGGACGGGTCGCAAGTCCATCACAGGGACACATAGAGACAAACGAGACAAACAACCATTCACTCTCTCACTCACACCTAGGGACAATTTAGAGTTACCAATCAGTCTAACATGCATGTTTTTGGACTGTGGGAGGAAACCGGAGTACCCGGAGAAAACCCACGCATGCACGGAGAGAACATGCAAACTCCACCCAGAAAGACCCCTGGACCGGGGTTTGAACCAGGGACCTGCTCGCTGAGAGGCAGCAGCTCTACCAGTTGCACCACCGTGCTGCCCTGCACAAGATAATTAACCTGTATTTTATTTTGGCGGGTCAAACTGATGCCACACTATAAGTTCCGGGTGAGAGGTGAACTCGGACCCCCCTCCACTGCTATTGCTGCTGTCACTGTGGCTAGCTGCGTGAGCTTGGCGTCTTCCAAACACACGGGAGAATACGGCTGGATCGAGCCAAATTAACACGACCGAGAGCTTAAATTGGGTGTTAACTGGCAACCACTCGACGGTGAGTCGTTCATTTTACGTACTTTGTTTTTTTAATATAATAGAAATGCGGTGGCGACACGCCCACTCAATCTATGTATTTTGTGACTCAAAAATGGTCTTATTAATTAAAAGATCATTCCCTTTTTGTTCCTTTTGTCGCCGAATAGAAGACATACCCTCAAAGTATTAAATAAGCCCTTTGATTTTTGTAAATTTGTCCTTTTAGGATAGTTTAATGTACTTTTTCTTGATTTTGGTGACGGCCGATGGAACTCTGGAACTGGTTAATTCCTGTGGAGTTGCGCAACAAAACTACAGAAAAAAAAAAGAAAAACAATTAATTGTTTATTGAAAAAATATTGAAGTCAATTAAGTTTAATTGACTCTGATGTCAATTAAACTTAGGTACTACTTGAAAGTGCACTTTAACTTTGATCTGTAACTGTACTGTAATAGTAATGTAATCTTTAATTTGAAATTAATTCAAATGTTTCCTGAGAAATGCTTGATGGAATATAGCTATTTGTTCTTTTATGAATGTTTAATATTTTTTTTTTAACAGTTTAACCCTGTTCAAATGTAAATGCTAATTTTTGTTTTATTTATGACCTTGTCTAGGTCAGGTTTTTTTTTACCCCCTGTTCCCACCCAGGATGGCGAGCTACCAGATCACCGCAGCTTCGCGGTAGGACTGAATCACACCAACTATTTTTTTTTCTGGACATATTGCCCTGGATCATGGATTTAAAACTGTGGAGTATTGATTGATGGACAATAGTCACTCTAGACTCCAGAACGGACTTAAAGAAAATAGAAAAAAAACCTCTTGGGTGTCATCGGGGTTTATTTATTCTTTCTTGCTATTGTTTTGTGTTTTTTCCTTGTTGTGTTTATTTGCTTATGTATATTGGAAATTATTGTTATTATTATTATTATTATAAGATATCTAACTAAATCTACATAAATGTACAACTTTAAATACAATAAGTTAACTTTACTTTCTGTCTGACGGTGTTTTATTCACACACACGAGCTCCTCAGCCGAACCTTTCTGATCGCCTATAACTATACTGGCCATAGTCAGGGGCCTAGTCTTAATTAGCGTTACAGTACAGTAGAAAGAGAGAGACATGAAGAAACAATAAGGCCGACAAATTAAAATGCGGTCGATAATTTTCATTTATCATGCGATTAATTTATTTATTGTTGATTGCGACAGGCCTAGTCCTTAAACCAGGTATTGGTAACTTTGGCACTGTGTGCAGGTGCCAAGTCCTGTTGGAAAATGAAATCTGCATCTTCATAAAGTTGGTCAGCAGCAGGAAGCATGAAGTTCTCTAAAACGTCCAGGTAGATGCTGCGTTGACCTTGGACCTCAGAAAACACAGCGGACCAACACCAGCAGATGACATGATATCCCAAACTATCACTGACTGTGGAAACTTGACATTGGACCTCAAGCAACATGGATTCTGTGCCTCTCTTCTCTTCCTCCAGACTCTGGGACCTTGATTTCCAAAGGAAATGCAACATGGGGCGGCTGTGCCAAGATGGCCGCGCTCAGAGCAGTTGCAGCTTCACAGGCTCCCGGTACCATCCCAGTTTTTAGAGGTTTTGATATTGACTCTGTGCCTGACTCCGCGCGATTTATGCGTTTGAACTATAGCCGAACCGAACTGATGAGAATTGGAGCGGATTTTCCACGAAATATAGCAGAAATCAGCAACAAACTCAAAACTACGCTCGGCAGAATGCAGATCTTTAAGTCATCTACCTGGAAGCTGCAGCAGAGGTGTTCCAGCGGGCAGAAGAGGAAGCACTGCTCCTGGCTTAAGAGGAGAGGATGCCGGGCGGGGGTTATGGTGAGGCTACAAGCTAACGCTAAAGCCGGTAAACTCCCCATGCCGTCTCTCTTTCTGTCGAATGTCCACTTGTTGGACAACAAGGTGGATTTACTTCGTCTGAGAGCGGGCGCCTTAGAAGAGATGAAGAAGTGTGCGGTGCTTTGCCTCATGGAAACATGGATTACAAGCGAAACATTGGATACAGTCTTCCAGCTGGATGACAGACTTTTTTTTCGAGCGGACCGCTGCAGCGAACTAACGGGGAAATCATGGGGAGGCGGAGTGTGCATTTACGTGAGTAAAAGTTGGTGCACGAACTGTACTGTTGTAAAAAGCTCATGCTCGAAGGCTTTGGAGCAAATAACTGTGAAATGCCGGCCACATTATCTACCCCGCGAGTTCACGGTGACTTTTATCACTGTTGTTTACATTCCCCCGGACGCTAATGCTAATGAATCACTGCAGGAGCTTCATGATATCATCAGCTCGCTGCAGAGCAAACACCCCGAGGCTTTTTACGTGGTAGCCGGAGACTTTAACCACGTGAACCTAAAGGACTGTCTCCCAAGCTTTAATCAGCATGTGGCGATTCCGACACGTGGAGACCACACGCTGGACCGTGTTGACACGAACGTAAAAGATGCATACAAAGCCGAACCCCGCCCCCACCTAGGACTGTCAGACCACATCTCAATCTTCTTGGCTCCTGCTTACATGCCCCCGCTGAGACGTTCCAGACCAGTACAAAAGAAAGTTAAATGTTGGATCCAGGACAGTGGCCCCATACTGAAAGATTGTTTTGACCGAAGAGACTGGCAGGTTTTCAGAGAAGCTGCTGAAAATGGAGGATCGCTTGATCTAGACCAATACACATCCCAGTTCTGGGTTACATTAGTATATGTACTGACACAGTCTCCACTATCAGATATGTTAAAAGCTACCCAAACAGAAAAACGGCTGAATGCAGAGGTGCGTACCCAGTTGGAAGCCAGGAACACTGCCTTCAGGTCTGGAAACTCAGAGGAGCTGAGTAGGACAAGAAAAGAGCTGGTTGCTGGTATTAAGAGGGCCAAGGGCACATATGCACAGAGGATCGAGGGTCAATTCATCTCACAAGAGCCTCGCAGCATGTGGAAGGGCATTAAGTGCATAACAGATTATAAAGGAAGGAGCGAACAATGCCCCAAAGACCCATCTCTGCCTGATGCCCTCAACAAGTTCTATGCACGCTTTGAAGACCCGAACAGACCACCCAGCAACAGACTCACCTCACCACTGGATGAAGAGCATCTCAGCGTGACCTCAGCAGAAGTAAGGAGTACCTTCAGGAGGATTAATCCGCACAAAGCAACTGGCCCAGACAACATCCCCGGAAAAGTGTTGAAGGAATGTGCTGATCAGCTCTGCGAGGTGCTAGCAGACATCTTTAACACCTCACTTACCCTGGAGACAGTTCCCACCTGCCTGAAGACTGCCACCATCATCCCAGTCCCAAAAAGCTCTACAGTGACTGGTCTGAATGACTATCGGCCAGTGGCCCTCACCCCGATAGTCGCTAAATGCTTCGAAAAACTGGTCATGACTCG